AAAAAAAAAAACTGAAGGGAAAAAAACATCAGCCTACAGAATATGTTTACTCAAGTGGAACTGATCAGGTGCCGGGAAAAGTGAGTCGCTCAAACCAAGCAATGGTTAAATGCCAGGCTCACTTGAGTGTGATCGGGGTCAGCCTGATATAATTTGGTTTATTAAGCTTCCATGTGCCAGTGGAGACCCCAAAGACCATTTCGATTATAATTTTTGGGGGGTTAAAATACTGACACACTTTTTTCCCTCCGCCTTTTAAGGATACAAATATATACTTCAAGAGGCAGACTGAGGAAACGATGGGAAGACAACGATTAAGAGTGGACTGGCAGTGACCGGAACATCATACTACGAAACGCTGAGAACCACGAGGAGTGGAAAAAGGCAAGAGGTAAAATCTACAGTGGTAGCCTATTAGTCAGCCAGAGTACGGGGTAGGTGAGGGCGAAAGTGAAGAAACCACAAGAGCACTGTAATGGGTTGGGTTTTTTTTAATACATTATTTTACATCTGAATACGATTTTTTGTTGATATAAGTCATTTTGACCAAGGCAGCATGCTCAAGCTAAGAATTAAAGAACAATACGATAGTAAAGATGATAACTCATGATGCCACTTGAACTGAATGCTCAAGCTGTCCACTTTGGGTTTTTAAGAATAGTTTTTGTACAAGTTTCACGGCTCTTGCAGCACACACAGGAATATAAATACCGAAGATAAGGGATTACTTGGGAGTAAATTACAAAGAAGAGAAGAGGAGAGAAAAGGAAGACAAATGTTTCATAGGAAAGATGGAGCAAAACACACCAGAGCACCTGTCAACCAACCACTCTGCTTGAGTATTTCGCGTGTGAATGTATAACCTTCGTTCAGGTCAATGAGGAAGTCTTCGAGAATCTCAAATTCTCTGATGTTTTGAGATTGCGAATGATGCCACAGCTCGTGTTTCTACGAAAGTCGTGAGCAATCCACTGCAGCGGGCAGCGACCACAGCAATAATAAAATTCTTCCTCTAAGCTTACTTCGAGTGCTCAAATTGAGCCCTTTACTTTTTGTGAAAGTTTATTTTTTTTAGTGAGAAACAATTATAAAAAGTACCATAATATTGTCATTCTGTGATAGCGCTTAAGATCGTGCAAATGTTATTTCAATCCATATCTTATCCTTTTCTTCTTTCCATTTCTATTCAAGACTTTTAACCCAGCAGTGTCATCGCCCCCCCCCCCCCCCCACGCGCTTTTCCTCCTTTCCTCCCACCTCGACAAAACGGAGTAAAGCGGAAAAATTCCACTCACGCCGGGTTCAAAGTACGACCGATCATCTATATTGAAATCTCCTCATAACACTTTTCCACCAGTTTTTTACCTACTCCTGTAATCAATGTTTACAGTTTATCGTCTCATTACATCAAACGAAGCTAATATAACATGCGTACGGCTTATCTGGCCCCTGGGGTGTCGGTATGATCGTCTGCAGCCAGCGAGTTCCACTCACCCTGCACCCAACACCACTTCCCGATTAGTTTCAGGTTTGGGAGAGGCATCGTTGAGGTCACCGGGGTGAAAAACCGTCACAGAATCTTATTATTTGCTATATTTTTACGGTGTCGCGTTGTATGTTATAAATTGAACATCTTACTTCTGTGACTAAAATGGTATAGTATAGTACAATTATTTGACGTAAATGAGCATTAAATGTATATTCTTACACACACACACACACACACACACACACACACACACACACACA